CTGGTGTTTTTTCCCTAGTAATCCCCCCTCCCCCCACTAGTATTGACGGAGAAATGGAAGTTAGTCCACCTACTCCCAAACCTAACAGAGGCTACTTCTTACCGTCCATCACCGGTTTGTTCAGTTACAGGAGGCTGAGTAGTCCACGTCATGACCCGAGTCACACAGTGCAGCAGGCGGGGCGGCGCCTGACTATAAAATCACTGTCGCACTTTTTCCCAACTTCTGAACATTCCCACCTCACCTACTGACCACATCGCACGGTAAGCATACTGCGTGGGTTACACAACTTGTGTTGTCAGGATTTTGATAAAACCATTATAACTCCTACAGGTAACACACACTTAGGTGTGGAAGGAATGTATTGTATTATTTACTGAGGATTGTTTACTATTATCAACAAATCAACTTTTCTAAAGGAGGCTAGTCCGGTCGTTATGTAACGTGGTCATTCTGTCACATGATTACTCTAAGTGTTGTATAAGATAATAGACTAACAATAGGCTAATACAGTAAGCACATGTTTTATTTTGCCTGTTTTTTCCAGTTTACTTAATTGAGTGTCGCCTCGCTTGTACACACACAATGTAGCTAAGGGTGTGGTTGGACTGTTGGCATGCACACATGGGTTCTGCAGCTTTAGTCTCCTCTGTCATTAGCTGAATTCCACCATTTTGGACTTTGGCACTTTTTTCTTTTTTCCCTCATTCAGCTAAATTTTTCCATTTCCTCTTTCATAAACAACACACACGCCCCAGTGTTCCCTCCACACTTTTTTCAGTTATGTTTGAATATGTGCAGTGGGTGTTTCTAACAACTTCATTACAGACCTCTGAGTTATTATGAGCATTACTCATCAGCAAGAAATGCATGGGAACAAAGCAGCGTATCGCTTCCCTTTCTTCTGCCTACAATGCAATAGAACAATCCTCTTTTGCAGGACAGAGTTTTTACAAAGATAACAGTCAAATCTCTGATGGAGGTCTGTATGGAGGAGGTGACAGATTGTTTATATGTCAAAACACTATGTGTTTCACATGAGGACAGACTGTGATTCACACTGCTCCTTGGATTCTGAACTCCCCCATTGCCCCTTAGATAAGATAATCAGGACAAGATGTTTCTCTGCAAGAGGCTTTTGATAACTTTAACATGAAGTATCACAGCCAGAATAAGTTTTTATCATTTAGCCTTAAAGTTCTTTGAGATCTTGTTTGAAAATGACCCAGTGAAGCTAAAATGAATATATTCATTGATATCATACAACTATTTCTGCTATAAAAGTGATTTGTTTTTAAGTCTAGACACACCCTAGGAACCATGCCTTCAGAACTGGAATGTGCCATGCAGTCACTCATCACAGTGTTCTACCGTTATGCCGGGAAGGACAAGGACAAGGACACGAGCACACTCAGCCGGCGAGAGCTCAGAGAGTTGATGGAGAATGAGCTGTCTACATTCCTTAAGGTGAGAAGGGATGAACATAATCAGAGTTCAGAATTTAAACAGAGTTGTTCATTACCATATCATTTAAGACATCATACAGCATGACCACAAGTTTTCTTGTTGATACCCCCCCCTCCAGTCTCAGAAGGATCCTGCAGCTGTAGACAAGATAATGAAGGACCTGGATGCCAACGGAGATGGTCGAGTGGACTTTGAGGAGTTTGTTTCTCTGATTGTGGGACTTTCCATTGCCTGTGAGCAGTGCTATAAGATGCACATGAAGAAGATGGGAAAGAACTGAAAGACCACAGCAGAAGAGAGCATGGAAAAAAAAAAACCACAAAGAATTTAAATTTTGTAAAGATTCCACACTTTTTTCAGTTATGTTTGAATATGTGCAGTGGGTGTTTCTAACAACTTCATTACAGACCTCTGAGTTATTATGAGCATTACTCATCAGCCAGAAATGCATGGGAACAAAGCAGCGTATCGCTTCCCTTTCTTCTGCCTACAATGCAATAGAACAATCCTCTTTTGCAGGACAGAGTTTTTACAAAGATAACAGTCAAATCCTCTGATGGAGGTCTGTATGGAGGAGGTGACAGATTGTTTATATGTCAAAACACTATGTGTTTCACATGAGGACAGACTGTGATTCACACTGCTCCTTGGATTCTGAACTCCCCCATTGCCCCTTAGATAAGATAATCAGGACAAGATGTTTCTCTGCAAGAGGCTTTTGATAACTTTAACATGAAGTATCACAGCCAGAATAAGTTTTTATCATTTAGCCTTAAAGTTCTTTGAGATCTTGTTTGAAAATGACCCAGTGAAGCTAAAATGAATATATTCATTGATATCATACAACTATTTCTGCTATAAAAGTGATTTGTTTTTAAGTCTAGACACACCCTAGGAACCATGCCTTCAGAACTGGAATGTGCCATGCAGTCACTCATCACAGTGTTCTACCGTTATGCCGGGAAGGACAAGGACAAGGACACGAGCACACTCAGCCGGCGAGAGCTCAGAGAGTTGATGGAGAATGAGCTGTCTACATTCCTTAAGGTGAGAAGGGATGAACATAATCAGAGTTCAGAATTTAAACAGAGTTGTTCATTACCATATCATTTAAGACATCATACAGCATGACCACAAGTTTTCTTGTTGATACCCCCCCCTCCAGTCTCAGAAGGATCCTGCTGCTGTAGACAAGATAATGAAGGACCTGGATGCCAACGGAGATGGTCGAGTGGACTTTGAGGAGTTTGTTTCTCTGATTGTGGGACTTTCCATTGCCTGTGAGCAGTGCTATAAGATGCACATGAAGAAGATGGGAAAGAACTGAAAGACCACAGCAGAAGAGAGCATGGAAAAAAAAAAACCACAAAGAATTTAAATTTTGTAAAGATTCTTTTGTCCATTAAATGCCCTGAATTTCAAATCTGTTGTCTGTAGTGGTTACTGTGTGTTTACATGGTGTGTGTATATATAGGCCCTTATGTTTCCCTGAAAGATATCATACATTATCATTGATCTAAATGTGCCTCTTTGAGTGTTTTACTGGTATTAATAAACATCTTAAACTGGACAGCAACTCTCCATATTGTAGCTGTTTCCCACCCACTGGTCTGTGTTAATTTCACACCCTGGTAAAACTCATTTCAGAAATCAGTGTACTTACTTTGTTGGTGCTATAAAGTCCAGCTTATTGCTTTGAGAAATCTGCAGAATGTTCTAGTGATGAACACACCCCTCTGAGAAGCAACTCACTTGGCTAATGTTGCAACTCCCTATATTATGATGCAGTCATGAACAGATAAATTAAGTGATGGGGTGATTTATAACTGACTAAAGTTTGATACATTCTGCTCCGCTAGATTTGATTAAGCAAGACAGAATTGGGCACTGGGAGGAAATGTGGAGGACCTGAGTCACAGGGCACAGCAGATCAGTACACTGTTTTTCCACTAAATTCTTTTCATTGTATTTCATGTCGGGTAAAATTTGGGCTAATTTTCTCTATAAATAAGTCTCCCAGGCAGAAGGTTTTCTCAGGCTATGTGCTGTCATCGACAAGCTCCAATCAAATGTTTTAGTCATCGATGTAAAGCATATAATTCTATGGGCTAGGGTTTAGGCCCTGGTTTGTGTTGATGGTTTGTTAATCTAAGCACTGTACAAGAAACTTTTACTGCTAAGGAAAGCCATCCTGGAAGGCTAAACTCTGGGCAAAAAAAGTATGTCTCATAGTCCTCTTCCTCTCTGCACACACCTCCTTGGGCAGAGCCTGACTTTGTGGCCTACTAATGTTCATGGTTACAGGGCAAACACTCAGGTTGCTTGGTTACATTGCTCTGAGTGTGTGTGTGTACACGTATGTGCCTGGTATTACTCACACTGTGGGGATCAAAGCCTGTTTACACACTCACACTGTAGGGACTCTTCCTTTTCCCCACCTTGTAAATCACTGTATTTTAGAGTGACAACTTGATTTAAGGTTAGGGTTATGCAAGTAGTGGTTATAGACTCAGGCTTGGCTTAGTTAAAGTCAGGCTAAGTCTCCAGGAAATTAATGTTAGTCTCTGTAAAGTCGTCATAAGAAATGAAAACAAACACATGCACATGTGTGTATACGTCTTTATTATATTGTGTAGACAAAGTTTTGCTCAATGCCATTGTATGAGGGCACTTTACCTTCCCCAAAACCTTGGTTTGGGGAACTTGGTTTTAGGGTTCAGGTTAAAACGGAGTTAGGCATTAGGGGAAGGGTTGTGGTTTGACATTTAGTTGTGATGGTAAAAGTTATAGTAACGGTCTTGGGAATGCGTTATTTCAACACGTGGCCTCACAACTATGCAAAAAAACAACTCTCTCTGTGTGTGTGTGTGTGTTTACACAAGCACCACACCCATGACACCCAATGCTGAGTTTAGAGTCGGGAATTCCCATTTTGCAGACTGATTTCTCAATATCCCTTTTTTAAAGTTGATATATCACTGCATTCATAGATGTATGAGGTGCACTGAATTCCTTTAGGCTACTGTATGTGCTGTATGTTGATCATGTGGCCTAAAGCAATGCAATCATTATCTGTCATGATGAATCGCTCTCTCCAAGCAAGAAGCAAGAGAACAGATCAGGCCAAAGCTTGTTCCTTTTGCTTTGAGAGTTATTAATATTGAGATAGATTTTTGACACAACCTTTGTCAGTTGGAGTCATCATACATATTCTCAGAGTTGTATTAATTCTCAGGTCATAGTGGTGTGTATTGGTATGTGTGTTCAGAGATTAGCAAACTTTCAGTAGTGGGTACCACACCTTACTTGGACACACTCTGTGGACAAGTCAAGCTGCTAAACAATGACAGATTAAAGCTCTGACTGTACCAACTCTGAAAATCCATTCTGAAATTGCTGCCTTGGCTAATTACATCCGACTTTGGTAATCTTGTTATTGCTGCTGTAGCTTATAAAAGTGTTGTAGGGCCAGTTAGTTTCTGCTTAGCTAGTTCTATTCACAGCTGAAAATATGTCTAGAGTATTCTACTTTATTTTGCAACAGTAAAACAAACAACAAAAGTGTTCAAAGTCAGAGTGGGCACTGGCCTGAAATGCCCCATATTTCTTCATGGCTTGGCCCTGTCTTTGAAGGGTGGATACAAGGTCATACCATAGCTACCACAGAGCTTTACACAAATACATGTCACATGTTTCAGTTTTTCTCCTGTCTGTTTATTAAAAATCAATACAAAGTAAAAATAAATTATCAACCTTCTATTTGGCTTATTTTTGGTCAAAATGTTCTGAGGGATTTTGTATTGAAAAAGATACAAATTACAGTAAAACTCCAGGAAAATTGTTTTATTTTATTTAGTGTATTCCTGCCTCACCACTAGATGGCATAATAACATAAGTATAATAATAGTGTTGCCTATGAGTAGTTGATAGGTATAGTACCACTCCACCTGTATTAAAGTAGTTTTATATAAAATCCAACTGGATATAGTGGCTTCCACAGACATTCCCTCCCTATTAGATCTGAGTGAGTAAGATGGGGAAGGAAGGAGACAGGAAAATATTTGACTAATGTTTTCCACACAGGGAAAAAATACAGTGTAAATATTTAACATTTGCGTTATCAATTCCTATGCTGAAGACAAGAATGACAGTGACACCAACTTCACTTCTAACTTATTTTCTGTATTTTATTGTACTTTGGCTGAAATCAATTAGAGGCCAAACCGGCAACTATTGTACCCTTTCCAAAGAGGGAAGACAGGAAAAGACCTCTGCGGTCTAATTTAAAGTCACACTATAGACCACACACACATAGAGAAAAACATTACACATGTAGCTGCCACAGCGCTGATCTTTTTTTGGTTGCTGATTTCTGCTCTCTGCAGAATGACTCATGAGCTTTAGAGGCCTGACTCTGAGTCACAGCCTCCACCACAAAATTGCTAGGAAGAGTGGACCCGCTCAAGACTATAAGAATCAATGCTCAGTGAGTTACTGTGGCCACAATTTTCATTTTAGAATCACATCCACAGATAACAGATAAGAGATCAATAATACCCACTAAACCCTTAATTAGTACAGTACACAATTAATGTGTTCTGTGATGCACAAGTGGATAGAAAAAATGCTTTGGTTTGACTTCAGTAAACCATTTAAGATTGGCGTTGCAGTTAAAATCTCCTCACACATTTCTCCATCTAGTCAAAAGGTCAAAAATGTATTTGTTGCAATAAGATACTGTACATGACACTTTTGTGAATTCAAACAGAGATGTGCAGTTGGGCTTATGAGAAGGGTGTAGTTTTGCATGTGGACAGTAGGGGCATGTCCCTACCAATATTTGAGCAAACCTGTGCACATTATCTTTGGAGTGAAGTTAATTTAAAATCAAAAAACTGCTATCTACCTAAAGTTGCCAGACCTTACACTGTGGAAACTGTGTTAGCTAATGTCAGCTAGCAAGCTAACACTGTCTTCTGTGATCTACAGGCAAGCAGTCACATTGCCAGCAGGAGTAAACATAAAATGGGTGGATAGGCTGTATATAGATTATGAGTCAAATTTCAGGCTAGAAACCCCATGAAAATGTTATAATTAATGAATTATTTGGTATGTAGGAAACAGCGTCAGGCAAGAGAAGCAGAGCAGGCTGATGAAGAAACAGGTGCTGCTCTGGTATTATTTATAGTTTGCAATTATAGGAAGAAACTAAATATGATAAAAGCTACTTGTTGAAGAAAAGCAGCCCTGGCATTTGTCTTTTGACCCCACTATTGAAAATAAATGAGCAAAAAGAGTAAGTAGTAGTAACAATGAGAAATTTGTGTTTGTACGAGCCAAGGCGAAAGTGTATGACACAAACTGTAGATGTTCTTTTGCAGGGTTAGTTATACAAGTGGTCTCTAAATGGAGTAGCTGTAAGTGACTACACCCTTACAAAAGGTAATTCAGTTCTCATAATAATTAGCTATTCACATAGTACAAGGGACAAGGATAGCTTTTTAAAGACTAAGCTGGCTTTAATTATACTATAGCTTTAACAAGCATGAAGCAGAACAAAACATCCCATTCCATCCCAAAAGACAGCTTTAAAGCACACAGCTCGTATCTCTCATACTGACTGCAGTAATGATAGCACTAATTCAAATGCAGTTTTTGTGTTATAGCAGTAGTAAACTTTTTGTGATAAATTATGCTAATTTTAGCATTTTGAAAATACTTCTTTAATGCAAACATGCACTGTATTTTTACTGTAAAACACTGTAAACATGAAATATAAAATGATGACTCCCTAAAAACTAGAATAACTGCTCACTGATGATTTTCTAAGCAAAAAACACAAATGCATAAAAACATTAAGTGATTCTTAAAGAACAACACGGGAAATGAAAAAACCATCAGGACACGGGGAGACTGATGAGTGGTTGAAGATGAAAGCAGCACTATGACGGGAGGGATAAAGGGTGTGGTGTACATGGTATAAAGCATCCTTTGCATCAATTTCTTCATCATTACAGTTCCACTAAAACCTTCACTCCTCTTCTCAAATCTCAACCTTGGTGAGTAGACAATCTGAACAGTGTTGTTTTGTTTGTTCTTTGCTTTTGTTTGTTTGTTTTAGTACCTTTAAAAAAACACACAAAAAATTATTCCAGACACAACTTTTTAAAATAACATTTTCATGAAATTTTGGTGAGTTCTATTTGTGTGAAGTACTTGAAAGGCAGCAGGTGAGTATTATTAAATTGCAAAGTTACCAGCTTTGTGTGCATTTTGGGTTTTTGAGGTATGGCTTGTTTTTGTTGCTTGTGAAAAGACAATGCTCTTTTTGCTGCAATGCCAATTATTTGGCAAACTTCAGCCTTTACATTTTACTTTTACATTCAGAAGTTAGAATCAATGTTTGATTTTTACTTTTAATTGCCACTAAATTAAACCAAATAGTGATATGATATTCATTTTGTACTCTCTTCCGCCGCAAATCCCATGTTTACAACCCTCTGACACCACAGTTTCCTCAGCTTATCACTCCCCAGAGAGGGAGGAGCATCATGTGAGCTGGAGTGCAATCTGAATTGACTCTCCTGGGGTCATGGAGTCATGGAGTCAGTGGAAAAAATACACATTTCAGACATACAGTGTTAAGTGAACAGAGAACAATCATGTCTTGACCTGTTGCATTGCCGAGTTCAAATGAGTTACCTGGCAAGATTAAACTGTTGCCATAACAATGTCCTGTGTGACTCTGCAGAGACACTGCGTTAGAGACAGTGACGTGGGGAATGGTGCTGGGCTCCTGTGGAAACCTGGGGTTTATTTTTATCCACTCCATGGAAAATCCCAAGAAAAACACTAGCATAGAGGAAAGCAATGATGTCAGCCACTGTTTGCTCTGATGTATGTAGATAGATAGATAGATAGATCAATTTTGCACTGCTCAGTCTTAAAAAATTAATTCAAATAAAATTGATTTAGCAGATAACACCTGCACTCCTCTCTCTGACAGTGAAACCAGTGTGTCTCACTATTTAACTTGTTTCTTTCTGTCCTCTTAAACCAGCTATCATCATGTCTGACATCCAGCAGGCTATGACCCTCCTCATCACATCTTTTGATAGATATTCGGGTAAGGAGGGAGACCGTCACACCCTGAGTAAGACAGAGCTGAAAGAGCTTCTTGAGAATGAATTTGGAGATGTGCTGGGGGTGAGTGATTTCTGGCCTTTATCTCAATCCTACACACTTAAAAGGTTGCATGAATAAATTGGCCTATTTGTACATGTTTGCACTGATAGAGTGATAAATGCACAAATATTGTGTCCAAAATGGTTTGTGCATCATGTGGTGCACAAGTCCAGTGACAAATCTTCATGTTTAATAATCAGTCACAATGTTGATGTTAAGAACTAAGATACAACTAATGACTCAAATACCACCACGACATTTTTATTATGTCTGAAAGTTGTGCATAACCAGTGAATATGTTTTTCTCCCCTGCAGAAAACCAGCGACAAGGAAGCATTAGACCGCATCTTCAAGGACCTGGACACAAACCAAGACAACTCAGTGGACTTCCATGAGTTTGTCAGGCTGATCTGTTGCTGCACTCAAATGTGCCATGAGTACTTTATCAGCAAGAGATAGAGATTCAAGCGCCATCTTGGGGCCAACATAGAAAGCTGTCGTACTGTGAAAGAGAGGTGTCTCTTGACAGCTTCTCTGAGGAAAGAATACATATTTACTACTGCTCAAAGGCACTAACAAAAAAGTGACCATTAAGCTACAAAACATGATATTGTAATGCAAAGTAAAATAAATCTTTTTTTCTTTGAAATGCTTGAGTTGTGCACATTGTGTTATTGCATGGATGGGAGAACAATATTTGTGTCAGTACTGGACACTGTACTGTGATGTTTGCACAAAACATTACACTTTTCAGTAGTTTAATTTCTTCTAACCTGAAATTTTACATTTGGATTAAGTTCAGGAAAGAAACATCACACCTGCAGGCTACAGCAGGAAGGATGTCACTGATATTGCTTGTATCATACAGGAAGCTCTAAGAGAGCACACATATCAAAGCACTCTAAGACAGGCTGATGTACAATAACTTTACTCTGACCTTTTTTGTTTTATTAGCCTCCACTATATTTATATTATGGTTTTTAGTGGCTTTACATGCAAAACATACAATAAATATACATGTACAGTGCTTCACCACTTGGTACTTTTGTCTCAAATATAAAGTCCTGGGTTTATACCAGACTGTGCTGCCTGGGGTATTTTTTTAATAGAAATCTGCATGTTTTCCTGTATGTGGCTTTTCTATGGGCACCCCAGGTCCCTTGCACAGTCTAGAGACATGCTGGTTAGATGAACTGCAAATTTTAAATTGAATTTAGATGTGACTGTGCACACAGCTCTGTGAATTTGTTCTTTGTTGGTCCTGCACATACTAAACGGCACATATAAATACAGTGGGTACGGAAAGTATTCAGACCCCCTTCAGTTTTTCCACTCTTTGTTATATTGCATGCCATATGCTAAAATCATTTAAGTTCATTGTTTTCCTCATGAATGTACACACAGCACCCCATATTGACAGAAAAACACAGAATTGACATTTTTGCAGATTTATTAAAAAGAAAAACGGAAATATCACATGGTCATAAGTATTCAGACCCTTTG